TGTTGGCCAAAAATTTGAATGAGTTTGAGAAACACTGAAAAATGGTATGTGGAAAAAAATTTCTTGTGTCTATCTTCGATCTCTTACCATCAAATCTTCATCTTGRTATGTCATAATGTGRAACATGAACCTAATTAAAAAGYTAATTGCTAATHAAAAATTTACAATAATGAATCATAATTTTTATTTTTACAAAATAYATTTACATCTACAMACAATCAYTATATAACACATATCTCCACATCAATATCACAAATTGATAATAGCAAATTATAATTTTATTCTTACAAAATATATTTGAACCCGCACCGCATATTTGAACACGCACACGGTGCGGGAAATCATCTAGTAATTCATTAATCACTAAATTTGTTGATTCATAAATACCTAACTAAAAAATATCGGCAAAAAACTAAATATATCATTTAGTTATATCTTTTATTGTTTCCGGGGTTTTAGCAACTTAATTACTCACTAAGCGAGTATATTATAATTTTAAAACGTCTATTAGATATTTAACTCTTATTGAAAAATAATTGATTTTTTTTCTTGACATTAACTCAATTTAATAGCAAAACAATTAATTAACAATATTAAACAGTACAATCGTTTACCCATATAAAATATACCAATAAAAAATCTACTTTTAATAAATAATTAAATTTATTATATATTGTTTAATAGTATATCACTTATCATAAATATGCTTATCCATATAAAAACATCATTATATATGCAAATCCAATTTTCTTGGAATATTCTGATGATTAGTTAGGATCCAATCATTTCTAAAGAACCATTCAAAACAATGCATTAGCTAGGAAAGTTTTCAATTATAAATATCATAATCGATGGAGCAAGCTTCTTAATATGATTTACTATGAAACTCAAACATTTTTAATTTAATTAAGTCTTTCTTTCATTCATAATGTCATCACAATTTCTTTAGCTCTTGAATTACATAATTGTGCCATAATTAATTTCAAATTTATAATGTCGATTTTTCACAAACAGTTATGATTTACAGCCATACTAGATGGAATGAAAAATAAAATCTTAAATCTTAAAAGCGTGGAAACGTGTTCTTAATGGATTAAGAAAAAACTGGAGATCGTCATTATTGAACTCCTCATTTTTATAATGTAGTGTTATATTTTATAATCATTTTTTTTTCAAGAATCATTATATGATTTTTACATTCTAAACAAAAAAACTTTGTGTTACTTACGCTTGGTGTTTGGTTTTGATAACAAAAATGATAGTGAACAATTGTGAAGTGGATCTTTTGATATGAACTCTATTCAAACAAACAAAAATGCCATGGAGAAATGTTAAGGGTTTATAGAAAGAACACAAATATCATGAGTTTTAAAATCTGTTTTTTTCCATTG